TTAATGTGAAATGCTTATTCGTAAACATTATTATATTTAATATAATAAATATTATAATCCGTTTAAAACATCGTGCCCAACTTTAAAAAACGGTTTAGTGTAAATTATGGAAATGGACATACAACGTGTTAATAATCATGTCCTTGTAGAAAAATATTTATAATGTAAACAAACGTCTACTGTTTTATTTCCCCCTATTTCTGGTATATGAAAAGACAGACAAACACCGATTCAAAGCATGTATTTAGAATGTTTACAATTCTTGACGCGAACTTGGCAAAATATCAAATTAAATGTGTTTTGGGCTAATCCAAGCAAAAGACATGTTATTATTTTATAGTGAAGTGGATACGTCATGTACTGTGATAATACTTGCTGACTGGCTGATAAGAGGTTAATGATTCCTGTCAGTTACTGTATTAGTGGGCGGGGAAGAAAATTATTAGTTGGACAAAGATCAAAGAAATTCGCCGCTCCAAGATAACAGCAGCACCTATGCAAGTGTAAATTATGCAATCAAAAGGACATGAGAAGTCTAAGACCATGGTTAAAATTTCCTGCAGATCCAAGCAGAAGTTTTCGAGATACTTATTACAGTCTCAGGGCACGACCTTTTTAAACGGACTATAATAAAATGTAATCGAATGTGATGAATACTGTTTTCCATGATGGGGTATGCAAACCCTTAGGTCAATGCAGTAGATCCGGATGCTCCCAGCGTAAATGATGGCTCTGTGGTCTTTTTCGCTAAATCCGTTTCTGTTAAATTATCAGGGGATGCCACTCCTCCTCCTCCTCCTCCTTCTTCTTCTTTCTTCTGTCTGTTCGCCAAAGTCTCTTTCCTCACTGCCTCCGTCATAAAAAGCAGCTCTACTTCTTCCAGTGACTTGTCCTTTGTTTCTGGGACGTACGCCAAAACAAAGATGGCTCCTACGATGCAGACGCCGCAGAAGAGAAGGAACGTGCCTAGAACGAAACAAAATAAAGGGGAATCTTAGTTTTCGAACAATTCTCAATCAAGTGCTGTTTCCGCAATGAAGGTTAGTAACAACGGATCTTTAATATAATGTGTGTTTTTACCCTTGGCGTACACTCTCTCAGAATGCTGTCCATTGTTATCCCTCACCCGTCTCTTATTCGCTTGCTTTCAACTTTCCCCTCCAGCGTTTTTACAAGAATGGTACGTCTTTTAATATGGCTGAAATATGTAACTCTCTCTTAATCTCTCTCTCTCTCTCTCTCTCTCTCTCTCTCTCTCTCTCTCTCTCTCTCTCTCTCTCTCTCTCTCTCTCTCTCTCTCTCCCCCCCCCTGAAATTTCCTGGAACAATTCATCAGAACACAATAATATTGGACTTTCCCGAGAACTCCCCACGATATCTCGGAGGCCCCAAAATGTAGTGAACTAAAATAAAAGTACCTACACATGGACTGAGGAAGCGAGGACGCCCAAGAGAGGCCGGGGGGAGGGGGGGGGGTAGTGTCCCCGATTTCTGTACCAGATATCAAACAGGTTCACAAGATAGAACCGAATGATGGAATTGGTTTGAGTCCGCGTGATGTGTAAAACTCTAAACAATCAAATCGACGAGATGAGCTCCCCCCCCCCCCTTTTTTTTCCACCTCACCGGGAGCAAATAGCCAATGCAGCGTCACAGAGTATCCACACCTCAAAAGATGTACACATACTCATACAAAGTAGCCAACACACACACATACATATACCCATTCACAAGTTTACACATACAACAAATCAGTATACACACACTAACATAAACGAACATCCGCTGATACTTTACACACATATATACACACTGACACACACAAACCAAAATGCAAATATACGCACACACCAACACATGGAAACACACACACACACATTACCCCAGGCTGTAATTGTCATGGTCAGAGTAAGGAAAAAATAGGACACGATGACGTTGCAGGTCCAGTTGGTGACAGCTGCCAGTGAGTTGGCGATGCTCCGGCCCCACTGGGGATAGATCTCGGCGTTAATGGTCCACGGCATTGGTCCAGCACCTGAGCGTGGAGACGGCAAACAAGACAGGTGTGTGACGTTAGGCCTCATCACCTATTGCAAAGATAAGGACCCTTTTCCACCCCTTCAACTGTATTGGGCGTATAAAACTAGATCTATATTTTATAGAACAATCGCTACTTGGTGGCTGATGTGACTGTGGCGGAATTTTATTACCATACCTTGGGGTTTCCGGACCAATTGTCATTGCTCGTACTGAACGTGTTTATTTTCAGACGCGGAGATCCTGACCTCTCTACAATTACTTTTTGTGGCATTCTTTCCTTTTCCATTCCTAATTATGCCTCTCCATGCAATATGACTAATGGCGTCCTGTTTCCACGAATTCCCCCACCCCCCCCCCCACCCAATACACGTCTCTCCCAAGACCAGTGAAGTCCAGCAATGAAGATCTTCCTCTCCTTAGCACAAAGCCAAGACAATATTGTAGAGAAAGTACAGAATCTGTCCCTCTCTCCTTCAGCATTCTTTACTCCAAAAGAAAGTAACACGAAGACATCTGGAGCAAAGCGGTTGAAGAAGCTGCCAAATCAGAAGAGGAGTGCTAGTTTGTCCGCCTGTCGGAGCTGGCCTCCCAGAGCAGGTACCGACCAAGGCCAAGTACCTGGTCTTTTCTGGCATAATTTTCAGATTGCATTCCTGGGATAAGGCTGGTATCATTCACCAATACGCACCTCTGACTGAAGCCGGTGGTACACTGGGGGACAACATTCGGCGTTAACAGAAGACAGGAAATACCCACTACTGTGCTGTAGACTAAAACTTTGAGAGTACCATGATAATTATATAATAATCTACTCATTGGCAAAAACTAGGGCTGTACCGAATAGTGATTTTCACTATTCGGCCGAATAAGAAGAACGGGACCAACTATTCGGCCGAATACGAATACGAATAAGAATAGTGTACAGTATATAAAATATATCTTAAACACACACACACACACACACACACACACACACACACATTCATAATGTCAAATGTACGCTGAACTTTTACTTCACATAAAGTAGCACAGAATAGTCATTTTCTTCTTTAGCATTCTGAGCCCTTGATGTTTACTGTTGCAGATATCACTCGTCTCCATTCATCTCTCTGGCTGGCCTTCTCTTTACAATTTGTGACACCAGTTGTTTGCAGGTCTGGCTGGACATTATCTCTCGAACTTCTTTTTTGTCTGAATCGTGGTCTACTCCCATTCCTCTCTCAGTTGTATACAGTTTTTACTTCACTGTCTTCTGACATTCTTTCAATATGCCCCAACCATTTTAGTCTGTTAGCTCTCATGAAGCCAGTGATCAATGGTGATTTAAACAGATTATGTGTTACGTTGTTGCTTCTCACTCTCCAATCCCGGCTGTTAGCATCTTTGATTGGTCCAAAGATTTGTCGTAAGACTGTTTTCGAAAACCTGTAATAAGGCCTCATCTCTTTTATTTCTGCTTCAAATTTCAGAGCCATATAAAACGACTGGTCTTATCATCGTTGTATATGTTTTGATCTTGGTGTTGCGAGACAGCACTTTGACTTTATCAGATTTTGAAAGGCATAGTATACTTTATTTCTAGATTGAATTCTAGATTGTATTTCTTCTGTCAGCATGTTGGAGCAGTTGAAGTTTGCACCCAAGTACTTATATGTTTCTGTTCGTTTGATTTTCATATTATCGACTTGGATATGGCCGAAGTTTATATTCTTTCCATGTCTAGTTAGTATTCGTACAGAATAGTAAACATTTAAAAATATTTAATGTTTTGCATCCTTCAGTCAGTTTGTGGTAACCAATAACTAGGAATGAAAGAATCCTAAGTATTATAAATTAATCAAAAGTATTATAACAAGTAACTAAACTTGGAAACTGTCACTGACAGCTTAGTTAATGCTGGAAAGCTGTATTAGCTTTAAACAAAACCAATCGTTCCATGTTGTCAGTATTAAGGCGTATATGCAGAAACGGATGTAAGGTAACTACTACTCGTATTCGGCCCGACCGGAACTATTCGGTCGAATACCGAATAGTCAATAGGTCTACTATTCGGCCCCGAAGCGAATACGAAGCGAATATTCGGTACAGCCCTAGCAAAAACATCTATAAAAATATTTGAAATAATAGGATATGTACAAACAAAATCCAATACTCTGTCGACTCTAGCTACCACTGTCGAAAACAACACATTGTGGTTGCAGTCTGATCAAACTTCTGACTTGCCTTTGTTCTGAGTGTAGAGTGTCGACCACATTCCTTGGTTACTCCTAGCTGTACCATTATCTCCAGACCATAATGATCTATTGGTGCCTCCGCATTGTTCGCTTGGTCTCGAAAGGCCTTGACCATCTCTAGCTTGTCAGGATAAAGTCCATCATTGATGCAGAACCGGTTAGTGTGTCAGCATGTTCATTTCCCCCAAAAATCCTTCATCTCCCGGAAAAAAATATTCAAAGAAGCGGATGCCTGCAACTTTGCGTGGAGCACGCCTGCTTCCTTTTCTAATTAATATGCTTTGTGAGTCAGTTTCAATGCTTGGAAATATGTGCCCCAAATACACTGTACCAACTTGAAAGCTTAGGCGTAAACCAATAGATAAATGAAACAAACTCACCTGGGGCAAACCCTAACACATACAAAACCATGCCTAGAACAGCCAGCCATCCGTATTCTGATGGGCAGAAATTATAAGTATAAGACATATCTGGGACCATAAATTTCTTTGTGCTGTTATTCTTAGAACATCTGCCAGACATCGCCCAGGCTGCCTCTGCGCTGGAGTTGACACATGACCCTTCCTTAATCTCACTTTTCACGATCCTGTAGCAGTATCCACAGTGGCCATTGCTGATACATTCGTGGCAAGTCCTGTAGGGAATCAAGTGTTTGGTGAATTAAACGGAGTGTAGGCACATCTTACAGTTGAACCGTTACACCAAACGTTTTTCTTACAGTAAGAGTGGGCTTCACAAGTCGTACCCTCAAATTTAAAGACAGATTTCGAAAACTCTTCTACGGATCAACACGACCGTGGGCACCTGGTCTTAGATTTCCCATGTCCTTACGACGTGTGTGATTGGACGTCGCTTGGTAGGCGACCTTTGGATATTTTCCCCAGGACGTAACGGTGTCTTAGAAAATAAACAGGCATAAAAAGCTAAAGGTGGTTAAGGGCCTTTGGGAGAAGGGGAACGGTGCGGAGACACGAATCGATCAAACTGATCGCATTGGGCCGCGAGTGCAGAAACTGGCCAGTAGAATCATAAATTCGCTAAATGATTCACGACAATTCTTGCCCAGGTTTTGTGATAATCTATTCAGAATGTTCTGCGTTGAGACGCAGACGAAGCTCATTGGAGTTCTTTTGCGAGAGTGAATGGACGTCACTTAGCGCAACAAAGCCTGACATATGACAACAAATCTAGTTTCAGAATTGAGGTGTAGGCACTCATTGCAACCTTCCGCTTGCTTGAGAATAAACTGTTCACATACGCCGTGATTGTAACCGACAAAGCATGTTGAGAAAGATGGAGACCGGTATTCTGTGTCAAGAGTGGAAAGCATCGCTTCAATGGTCAACTGTAGTTAGCACCCTTTGGATATTTTCCCCCAGAAGATACTGATGTATTAGGAAATGAACAGGCTGATAGACTGGCTGGTTCTGCACAACTTGGTGGTAAATTGATGCTCGGCAAGCTAGATGTTGTAAGGGTTCTCTGGGAGCGAGTGAAAGGGTCGGAAGCACTGATGGATCATCATGGTCGGAAGCACTGATGGATCATCATGGTCGGAAGAGAGCGGTACTACAAGCAGTGACCAGGGGATCTGGTAGACGATGAGCACTCAGGGGAAAGGTAAGACGGATAAACAATCAGAGTGCTACTAGTACCATCGGAATTGAAACTCTGCGTTTGCTCGCGAAGATGGAGACAGAGCGCTCATAGGAATGTCTTGAGTGCTATGATGTCGATTCTTCAATAAACACTGTAAGGCGTAATTAAACAGTGATATTTGTTTTCTATTTTAACCAATAATTCTCACCTGGGCATGATTATTAACAGGTTGCATATGTCAAATGTCAAGAACTGACGCAGTGAATTGAGCCATATCAAAACTCCACAGATTACACAGTTAGATTTTCAAAATCAGGCAAGACTTCCGGCGCGGGCTAAGTAAGTTGCGTGTCTCTTACCGGACGCAACAGACCAGTTCTAGCATTTATTGACTGTTTGTGGCGTTGCTCGGCTGTTTCAGCTGTCTTACCCTGTCTTGGGGAGCCGCCGTTGTGAACCAGCTAGACGCTCGCCTGCGAATCCGAAGGCCGTGGATTCAGGTCCTGATGGAGTGGGACTTTTTAAAAAATTGACTCCTAGGTAGACCCAGCCTTAAATGGATACCAGATAGAGTCCTGGGAGGTAAAAGCAGCCAGGGAACTGTTGACCACATCACACACACAGTGCTGATTGACCTATAAAATATAGGTCTAGCCCTTTATGCCCAGTACGCCTTAAAGGGTAGAAAAGGGTCCTTTAATTTACTAATTGACCCTGTCCGTACTACTTCAGCTTACGTTGCAACCCTCAGGGTCGCTAATACAACTTTACGGTTGAACTGGGTTTCTGGGATTTGTACTCGGGTGAACTGATCTGAAAAGTTACGCATTGCATTTTGTGTCCTCATGTGTTAATCGCTCAGTGTGTGCTTTGCTTTCCCAGTAAAGTTTAACTTTACTTCACTAGGCAAGTTTTTTTAGGCCAAACTACTGCGGCACGTGGTCTGCTGCTAAATCACCTGGAGCTAAATCGAACTTTGTATTTCGGAATTACAAGCCGCAATCGTAACTCCTAAACTATATGCTTCGACCTAATATTTGCATTTTATCACTTGAGCTTGTCAAAGCAGCAACAGCATTAGCAGTAGCAGCAGGAGCAGGAACTGCAGTAGCCGTAGTAACGAAAGTAGGACACAAATTACGAAATTACCCTTATAATCATGTGTACTGGGCTAAAAGAAATATATGTCTATAATTGTATGAAGAATGGATATGGTCAGATCACTGTGACTTTAATAACTGATTCCTACCATCTGTGTTATGTCATAAGTGCTCAAATTCTACTTTCAACACAGACACATATACATACGTATGTATTTATATATATATATATAATACAATAAGAAAACCTTCAAGACGGGAGCACACACAGGAGGAGTCTACCGATCTTCAGTAGGTGTGTCTCTTTAAAACACATGGCCTGTTTACCTCTCTAGACTATTTCGCGGGCGGGCCGATTCAGGTCATGACTCGGAGGCCTCGACTTCTGCTGCCCTGATCGGACAAGACGTTCTGTTAATTGTAACAGGTACTGAGGTTATGGTGATCGTCGCCGTGATAGCAAATTAACCGCTTACCAACACGGCCAAAATGACAAATGGTCGGTTGATTCATCGGACAGGCGTTGATCAGATCAGACTTTAGCAGTTGGCAGCATCACGGACAGACATAATTCCGACCAAATGTGGCTTCAGGGACTGAAAATGTTTTTTCAGACTAGGTGCTCGGACCAATCGAGGTCTATTTCGATGATGCAGTAGTGTACACCGATGGTTCTGTTCATCGGATGTAAGATGTGGCTGGGAATTTTAAGCTAGAATAAAGGGAAAAATTGTGGCAGATATAAACGGAGCCTTTTTTAATCTACAACTTCAAGTATGAGTGGATGTGGAGGCAATCACTGCAGCTCTGAAGTGGATAGCAGAAAACAAAGTTACCAGAGGAATTATTGTGCCAGATTCTCAGTCGGCATTGAAGGTTCGAAATGGACTAATGTGGCATGACTGGGTACCATGCATCAGTACGCCAACATTGCAGGGAATCGCGTGGACATATTGTCCGGGGCATGCAGGAGTGCGAGGGAGTGAAAGAGCGGATTTTCTGGCGTGTGTGTAATCAGTGTTCTACGGGAACATTTAGCATCAACACCTTTCGTTGTTTGCTGTGGGAAAAGATGCATCTGTGGGTATACCCGATGTGCTGTGATGTCGATTCTCAAATCAGTAATTAGTAATGTCGAGGTGCCTGGTTCGATCTCAGAGGCAGGCGATTTGGCAGCTAGCCTACAACAGCCGAAGAAGGCTGGGGTTGGTTTCTGCAAAGTCTTGTAAGATACGCAACAAACAAATTGTGACAGTGGCTCCCCTGCGTGTGTTATAATTGCAGCATAATCTGCAAAACAGCAGGTGGACTTTCCTAATCTTGGTCTTGGGTTCCAATCTGAGCCCTCTAACTGCCGCCATCTGAGCGAGAATGGATGAATACCTATACAAATAAACAAAAAGCCATGACAGCCGCCCAGATTCATGTGTCCAGCTGCGGAAGGATGCTATTTGTGTTAGTCTATGAGTGAAATGTAACACACAAGGAAATTGACCACTTCATCCCAATAAGCCAAGCTTTCGATTGTGTGATGGTTTAACAAATCAAACAGCAACACTCCTACCTGCCTTTAATGCATAGAATGATGTTAAAAGGTCTTACGGGTATTTGTTGCACAGGGTCACAATGCTTAGTGCATCGTTGGTTGCCTTTGCTTCTGGAGAGTTGAGCTGGGCGAGTAGGAACCCTGCAGTTAGGACCAGAAGGGCACCTCCAATTGCTGAAATACAAACACAATAAGTGACGACAGGCATAATGGGTAGACCTATAATAATATTTGTCACATACCGCTCCTGACACGTGCCTGATTTAAGGATTTAACCTTATGAACCAACAGCACTCTGAAATAATAATGTTGAGTCTTTGGCTCGTATTGGTCTAAGGGATATCCCGTGGCCAATATACGCTCAACTTATTTCAGGAGTAGGGCAACTCAAGCTTTGGCACTACAAAATAAATAATAATTCTAGGCACACTTGGCTGGACACCCCCACTACTATAAAAAGGTAGCACCCAGGTTATGATAGAATACTATCATAACCATGTTAACACAGATTACACTTATTACTCACACAAAAATAAAAGCTAGACAGTTAGAATAGTGAAACATGGACACCCAAGTCAGCCATGAAAATTTCTGCATGTAATAAGTACATTATATATACATCAATGAATCATCAAGAATGTTCAGTGAATGGAGTTCAGGAATCAATGACACAACCCAGATGTTGAAGCAGCCAGATGTAGTTCTTGAATTTCACATGAGTTCATCATTGGAATCACAAGGAGCTGTGGGAAGAGAGCCTGATTGTAATTAATAGATCACTTATCCCAGTTCGTAGGCCCCTGCTCTCCTCAGTCCATGGTGATTTGACTGTGGATGACTCAATAGGTAGCCATGCCTCGATTTGGTCTGGTACAGGCTGACTGTCTCACAGGTGATGACACAGGGACTGCATAAGAGCCCAACAAAGCTCTTGAAGACTGTGGTGCCCGCTGACTGTCTCACTGGTGCGGACACAAGAACTGTATAAGAGCCCAACAAAGCTCTTGAAGACTGTGGTGCCCGCTGACTGTCTCACTGGTGCCGACACAAGAACGGCAAAGGAGCCCAACAAAGCTCTTGAAGACTGTTTCTCTGGATTGATGACATAAGTGTCTGCAATTGTCCACCAGTCCTGGAACTCACAAACAAGCTCTTGCCATGTTCAGGTAGTGGCAACAATATACAGGACTTTTGGGTGTACTTGGTGGCTAGAATGGTATGGGTTGGTGGTTGTTGGCTGGACTGTGATTCGTCTGCCTTATCTCTAAGGAGGTATCATCCTGTCAGGAAAGAACTCAGAATTAGTAATCAACTTTAATCACACATCAGCTCACCCCACACTCTGCTACCCTTCTCCATTCCTCAGAGTGTAACTCTCAAGAACAGGAGACAATGTCTCCCTTCATTTATCTGTCTGTAAATTAGTACACCAGATATAAGACAAGGTATATAGTGGAGATAGGTAGACACTACCACACATAGATCATTCTCTCTCCACCCTCACATCTGCACCCGCAGACATACATTGTACCCCGTTAGTACCTATATATATATATATATATATATATATATATATATATATATATATATATATATATATATATATATCATGTCTCCACACCCGATATTTCCGTGCCAAACACACCTTTGACACAGAGCGTCGAGCTCTGACGTCACAGCAGTTAACTGTAAAACGATGACCCAGATTCCATATTTTCTGCTAGGAGGCACAAAACGTCGTTTGTCTAGTCAGAGAATAATTACTTGTAGGGTTTAATATCTTTACAAATGGTGTGGAGCAAAAACTATTTAGTCTTCACAGGAAAGGTTTAATGTTCGGAGCCTGATCTCTGGACAGCAAGAACGACCCAACTCTGTGCGATTACACAGCTGAATCTTCCCTCTCTGCAGCAGTGGTCAACTTTAAAAAGACATTTATTATGGTACTCGTAAACTATAATCAACTTACCCAAGCTTAGGAATACTTCAAAGCTAGAACTGGTTCTAGAATGCGCCAATTTTATTCATAGACTGTATACACGTCTTGACACTTTGAAGATCAGGCTGACGAATGCCGCTCAAATCTAAACTCGGCGTCTCTATGAAAGAAGTACCTGGATTCACACCCAAGGAGTAAACCGGCTTACAGGAATATCTGAATTAAACACCAGAAATTCTCAGCCCACAGTTGTAAGTTTGAAAATGAAGATATCTTAAAGCAACTAGAGGGTCTAGAAATGAATATTTCACCAGATAAAGGTATATATCAATCTAAGGGACTATATACCCCTCCGGACGGTTTTAAGTTTGAAATGTGACCGCCCGCTTTAGGAAGTCGGCATCACGACTCGTCCATCGTGTAGGGTTGGCTGTTAACTTCATGATACTATTGAGAGGGAGGAGAAGAGCCTGGAGTTTCGTAAAAAAAGCTAATGGAAAATCATTAGTGCATGACAGTCTGGCATATGATACCAAACATCTAACATGCGAATGTAGGTGGAGGCGTTCACTGCAGCTTTCCGGTGATTAGAAAAAAAGATATATACACGTGTCGTAATTGTTACGGACTCTGAAAACATGATGAAAAAGTAGAAGACAGGATTACTTCAGAGGGTGGCTTTTCTGATCCAAAAGCTTTTGTCGCATGCTTTGTTTCAAACGTGTTGGCGTTACTTTTTCTTTGGAGTAAACAAGGCAGGCCGAGAAAGGAGTAAGGATGCATGGGCATCTCAGAATACTCCCCAGGCTGTGTGCTATGGAGAGGAGGAACTCGATTACCGGCCTTTAGAGATATTGAATAAAGCTCCTCCCCCCGCCCCTTGTTTTTAAACCGGAGCGGGTCTTACATATCTCCATCGCCGTGGTTTCTGCCACACAAACCTTTTTATACCATAGTACAACACTTTTTCTTCTTGTGTGTGTGTGTGTCTGTCTGTCATATAACGCAGAAAAACGCAGTATAAAAACCAGATGTTTGTTTACATTAAAGAATCTTAGAAGTACATGATTTTGGGCACATCTCACGTTTTCGGGCCCAGAAAGAGAGTGACTTCCATATCCATTCATAAATTGCCGCGTCGCAGGGCTTGTGCTATGTTGCGGGGATGTTCAAGCTTAGTGACCGGCAGCATTTTACTAGATGCTGTCACCAGCCAGCGATGTCGCGTGTTTTCTATTACAGGATGTGAGCGATTTTAACGGTCACGAAACAGGCAGAACTGGCCCTAGCCCCTACCCTCATATGTCCCACTAGAGAGTCCAGCCTATGTCCTACGAAAAAGTGCAGCCTATGTCCTACGAGAGAGCGCAGCCTATGTCCCACGAAAGAGCGCAGCCTAGGTCCCACGAAAGAGTGCAACCTATGTCCTACGATAGAGTGCAGCCTATGTCCCACGAGAGAGTGCAGCCTATGTCCTACGAAAGAGTGCAGCCTATGTGCTATGAGAGAGCGCAGCCTATGTCCTACGAAAGAGTGCAGCCTATGTGCTATGAGAGAGCGCAGCCTATGTCCCACGAGAGAGTGCAGCCTATGTCCCACGAAAAAGTGCAGCCTATGTCCCACGAGAGAGTGCAGCCTATGTCCCACGAAAAAGTGCAGCCTATGTCCCACGAAAGAGTGCAGCCTATGTCCCACGAAAAAGTGCAGCCTATGTCCCACAAGAGAGTGTAGCTTACGTCCAGTCCTGCATGTTTCGATACGGTTAAAGGCGCTCACAACCTGTAATACAACAAGCAACATCGCCTGAAGACGTTAGTTTTAATGATTATTAAAAGATTGCATGCCAAACATCTTTCTGAGTTATAGATTTGTAAAGCTAGGCAGGACTTCGGAAACCGACTGTAATTAACTAACGAACCAAGCAGCTAACTAACTCAGCAAACAAGTGTTTTGAATCCTTATGCAGATCTACATTTTGTGTCAAAAACTCACCCAGGAAACTGAGAGCGAGGGCCAACTTTCGACCCAAAGACTCTACAGCCCATAGCCCAATGAATGTTGCCAAGAAGTTAATCGTAGTTGGCACAACGGCTAACCAAATAGCCAGCTTACTGGAAAATCCCGCGCTCATCAGAATAGTTGAGCTGTAGTAACTAAAAAAAAAAAAAAACAAGACAGGATTCCCATCTTTAAAAAATATCATGAATGACTATTAATATATACAAAAATGTAATACTAGTCAGCTTTACAATACCGCAGTCACGAACTATAAAAGGAATGTTGAGACTAGAGAACCTTCATTAACATGCGACACCAACGGATAATAGTAGTATATAGTGAGGTTTTTAGATCATATTTCTCCATGGCAGTGTAGCATACAGGTGACTCGGGCATGATGACGTTTTGTCGGCTTATTAACTTGAGTATTAATAATATCGTCTTGTTACCCCGAGGCCCTGGTAGTGGGTGCCAGACTTTTACGCCCCCCCCCCCCTTTCTCAAAGAAAATCTTTCTATAGGTCAAAAGGAATAACTAGGAAAAGGGGGTGGGGGGGGGGGGGGGACGTAATTTGCTGAAACTGGTGAAGTTCTGGAGTCTTAAATATACGACTTTTCATGTAGTTAAAAATGGAAATCAATAATAAGGTTTGAGTATGTGGTACTAGACTCGTTTATAGTAAAGGGTTTGAGGAAGACTCTGCCAACATGACGAGCTAAAATGGTAGATTAGAGGGTGTATATAGTAGTGTATTCAGATGGTTCCGCCAAGGTGACAGGCTTTGGCAAGACGGCGATTTCTCTGCAAAGATGGCAAGCATGTATGACTTGTATAGATCAAAATACGATGAGATATTTCATATTAGGAAAAGCTCGTTTGTTTGATAAATCTTCTTGCTGGTCAATGGTGGTGATCAAGGTATTTATTGCTAGATTTGTTCCCTTAAAAATCGATAATTGAGCGTATTAAAGGGTCTAAATGCTGAAAATATTATGAAAAATGTAGTTTATAAATAGCCCTGTGACAGCTACGATCCGCTCACAATTGGTAGCAAACCTATACGTTGGGTCAGATATGCAGACGAAACAGTTCTCCTTTCCATAAGTTAACGATTTTTAGAAAAATTAATTCTGAACGTCAAAAAGTACAAAATGAATCCGCAGACCCCAGAAACACCCTTACTGACCTCACTTATCGAGTTTCATATTTTTAAATGTAAATTCTAGCACCACATACCTTGACCACATCACTGACAACCACTGACACCTAGAACCTCTGCTAACAAACCGAATATATTCTTGTGGCCCCAGTAAGGCTTGGCGGACCTACTGAATTGTTTGCTATGTGCGATAAACTGCGAGGGAGTAATAAAATCCAAACACCTCATTATATACTACTGATAATGATAGTTACAAACAAGATAATATAAAAATTGCTTATCGTTATCATAAGGTGTTTCTCAAACTCTCCTTAACACAGTTCAAATGCAGAATTTCTACCTACGCGTGACTTGGCATGTTGTCAAATGAAGATGGTGGAAGGGAAGTGGCCCAGAGAGGAGGTATTGGTGGGCACACGAGTGGCTATAACGTAAAGGAGGGACTTATAAGATATCATAATCTTGCATATACTTTGAATGCCTTAAATGTATTGATCGGTATGTCCACTGTAGCGTTTTTTCCCAGTGCAGTTAGAAAGCATATTGTGTGGTTTATTTCTTGGTGACAATGGATCATATTCTAGTACCGTTGTCGATGTAGCAATTAACCCTTTTACACCCGTGATCTAGCAAAAAGAAAAGGATTGGGAAAAGGGGTGGGGAAGGGGGAGGGCCTTGAACTTACTTGCTTGTGATGTCCCTTTTTAGCTCAAAATATTAGTGATGCCTCCCGTTTTCAGCTCAAAATATCAATGCTACTGCTCGTTTTCAGCTCAAAATATCAATGCTACTGCTCGTTTTCAGCGAGGAGGTCTCTGTCCAAATCTAGTACCGTATGTCTTGGCCTCTGAATATGTTGCTATATACCATTCATACCCTATTAGTGAGAGTGTAACTTTCAAATCCGTATAAGAAAATAGGCAGTACCAGGGATTTAGATATATTGACCTTAACTTTGGTGCTGATTTTGCTCTTTCACATCGTATTCAGCTGCGACATTTCAGCTGTTGCCATATCAAGTCTTGTCTTGATCTGTTTGGTGCAGCTGCCATCGTTGCATGTGTGGGAGGCAAGATATTAAAAGGTTTCTACTTCTTCTAGTTCTTTTCTTTTACCTGTATGTTGTTAGGTACTTAATTATTGAAGCTGTTTACCAGAATCTTGCTTTTCTCGGCATAATCTTTCCACGCCATATTTACAACAGACTGTCTCTAATTTTGTAACAAGAAGCATTCCCAAAGTATTAATTGAATACTTCATTATATGCTACAAAGGCACTGCTAACTTACATGACCGCATTGATGCCGCAAAACTGCTGAAAGAGTTGCAGCATGCAGCCAATGAAAAGTGCTTTCCTGATATGGGGCGTTGTAAAAATCCGCTG